ATATTTTACGTGTTTAAAAATCTTCTTTATATTTTCATAGTTTATCCTCGTAGGTAAATATAAAGGATGAAATATGACAGAGATGAAGTAGGAGGGCCCCAAATTTATGTCCCTTCTTCCAAAGGAAACGGCTCCATGTGAAATATTACACACACTTGAGAAATTTTCATCAAATTTAAACACAACATGAGGCACTTCAAAACTAATACAGAGGAGTTCGGTGTGGGTAATATGGAGTAAGTGTGCGCTATCCAATCTCTCTCACTGATTACAGATAAAAACCAAGGACAGCAAAGAGAAACTGAACCACCACCACCACCAAGGACAGCACACATAAAACAATCAAAGGAAGACGCTGCACAGTTAAGGTAGAGCAAGGAGGACTGTGGAAGGAAGTTGGGGACTCACAGAACAACCGTACGGCAGTAAGTCCTAGCTCATTGTTGTGTCACACCTCCCTTATCTCTTATATTTCCCATATCCATGGGTACTGCAAATGGGTGCGATGAAAAAAACTCCAAGACAAAACCCACTCTCTCTTGTCAGAGGACTGAGGGGGCACCTGTAACCATCCCAGAGAAGCCTGGGAATGAGCTGCAGCCCCATGGCGGGCAACAACGGTGGGAGGTTGGTGGAGCGGCGGCAGCCCACACCGCAGCCTCCTGAGCTCTCGGCTCCACCTGAGACACAGGCAGTCCCGAGGAGCATTCGATGGTGTGCGGCAAGGCTAAAGCCTCATCGTACTTGCTAGAATACCAGGAAGAGGCTCCAGGGGAGTCAGAGATCAGGGGGCAAGATGACAGAGAAGAGAGCTGAGGAAGTCTCTAAGGTGGTTGACCCTTTTTAAATTGGGTTGTTTGTCTTCTTAATGTTGATTTTCAGGAGCTCTTTAAATGATGTGGATACGGGTTCTTTGTCAAGCTAAAGGTACTATGAATACTCATCCACGATGCGGTATCGACAGGCTGTTCCTTTAAAAATAAGCCGAGTGAAAGATTCCATCCACAGAATTGAATGTACTCAGTTTATACAAAATTCTAGAACAGGCAAAATGAAGCCACTGTGACAGAAATGAGAACTGTAGCAGTGGGGGAGGTGGGACTAGAAGGGGACAGGAAAGAACTTACTGGGGGGATGAGATTATTCTGCGTCTTGACCAGAGGGGCAGTTACAGAAGATTTTTACATTTGCCACAATTCACTGAAATGCATACTTAAAAGCTATGCATTTTCTTTTACGTAAATGAGACCTCCATTACCAAAAGAAAAAAGGAAAAATTAAGGTAGAACTCTAGAGCTACCCAAAAAGTGATTAATTTCTGCTTATGGTGATAAGATCAAAACTTTATAAACAATACTTCATAATTCACTTTTAGTTACAAATATCCCCCCCATTATCTACACCCCCACTAAAGAATTCTATCGTAAAACACTTAAGGTGGAAAATACTCATTGTCAAGGTCAAAGTGACAACTATATGACTTATATTATACTTCTAGGTATTTAATAGTGTTACACAGAAATGGTATTAAACAGCCAAACAGGCTTGCCTTCTTTTTTTCTTTCTTTTTTTTTGTTTTTTTGGTAAATAAAGATAAAATAATGCTGAAACTATACAATGTCAAGACAACATATGTGGAGACCAGCTGTTATGAGAAGATAATACCATTTGTTCCCCAAAACTACTTCACAGCAATGTCTTTAAGATTAATGAGATAATGGACCAGATCCTTCTTAGTGGGAAAACTACTTGCTGTGGGGAATTTGGGCACTTTAGGGCACAGTAAATCCATCAGGCCACTGGGATACCATTATTGCAGTAAAGCAAAATGGGAGACTTAAAAACCTGTATTCTAAATAATTAAGTTTTTAAATATTCAGAAGGGTACGCTGTGAAGCATAATTTATACTTGAACTTTACTTTCTTCAAAAACAAACAGAAAGCTTTCAATGTGTGAGTTAAACAATAAAGCTCTTCCGTCCTTCTAACATTTAAGAGTTTATCACAATACGAGGTAGCCAAGGTTAAAGAAATGAAGATACGGTCACTGTCCACAAGAAGCTCACCATTTGGGGGGAAAACATACAAATAAATTATTTAAATGCAATGTGACAAATGCTTTTTAAAGATCCCTAAGTGCCTGGCACTACAGAAATACCTGGACAGGGCACCTTATTCGGAATGGGGGCGGGGACCCGGTGGAGGACTGGACACCCGAGGTGGCCTGTGGGAAGCCAAGAGGCCTGGGCAGAGAGTGTTTGGGGCTGGAACCTATTGTCACAAAGGGAGGCAGAAACCCAAGGAACTACACGGCACAGGGACAATGTCTCCCAGTACCTGGACAGGCCAGAGGAGGGCACGCTAGTGGGGGCCTGTGGGGGCAGGATGGAAAGAGCTGCCTCGAAAGAATCAGCTGCGTGCACCTGGGACCCTAGACAAGACTTACGAGACACATGTGGCAGCCACTGGCCTCAGGGAGTAGCTGAGGTCACAACCCACGGGATCCGTGGGCTGCAGACAGAAGGCAACTCCAGAAATCTCGACACCAGGGACAGGCAAAAGGAAAGAGGGCAAGAGCCACCAGGTATGTTTAAAAAAAAAAAAAAAAATTCCAACAGAAGGTATCATGAAATCCAAAGGAGTAGAGAACAAAAGGAAATAACCCCTGGCAGCCAGGTCCTCTGTCAGATAAAGGAAGAGGAGACCCGGTGTCGTCTGGATGTGACCCCAGTGGGGTCTCAGGTGAACTCTGTGACGAGACAGAGAACAGGGTCCACAGCGCAGTTCACGCAAGCTTCCCGGGCGAGGGGGACGGAGGGGGCCACAACTGGTGGGGGTTTGGGCTGAATGACCGTTTTGAGTTCAATGAGTGAGGCTGGGCGGAGAGAGCTGTTATTTGTGTCTTTCGGTAGCTCTGGTTTGGTTTCATTGTGAGAGTTGCCAGGGTTTAAAGAGGAAGACAAAAGAACCGCTAGATAAAGAAATGGTGGGAGAAATTTTTAAAACCAGAAAATGATGGGTAAAGAAATGAAAGAGGAGAATGGGACATAAAAGTTATTAAGAGGGGTGCCTGGGTGGCTCAGTCTGTTAGGCGTCTGCCTTCAGATCAGGTTATGATCCCAGGGTCCTGGGATTGAGCCCTGCATTGGGCTCCCTGCTCCGTGGCAAGTCTGGTTTCCCCAGATGCTCCCCACTCGTGGGCTCTCTTGCCATCTCTCTCAAATAAATACATAAAATCTTTTTTATTTTTTACAGACTCTTTTTTTTTTTTAAGTTTATTTATTTATCTATTAGGCAGAGAGAGAGAACACAAGCAAGGGGAGTGGGAGAGGGAGAAGCAGGCTTCCTGCCCAAGGCGGGGCTCGATCCCAGGGCCCTGAGATCATGATTTGAGCTGAACGCAGACGCCTAACAACTGAGCCACCCAGGTGCCCCCATAAATTTTTTTTTTAAATTTTTTAAAAAAGTTATTCAGAGGGCTGTCAGGTTTGGGGTCCAGGAGAAGCCCTCTACCACTGAGATCGAAAGGAAAGTCCGACAGGTGGCTTTAGGAACCCAAGAGTCTGCAGGTAGCCAGATGGAAACTGAGGGAATTAAAATGGCTTCTCGTTTTGGTGCCATGAGAGCTTAGTTCTGTCGAACCAGGACGGGGAAGTTTGCTTCTGCTTCTGCAAATATTATTTAAGGAAAGAAAGCTAAACTTGCATGAAAGTGAGTTTAAACAGTTACACATTCCAGGATATTCCATTGAATTATTTATCTGCAATGACATTAGGAGTTACAACTGTTCAAAATGAACTGAATTTTACCAAAAGTTGTCCCTTCCACTATAACATAAAAATATTTGGATGTCAATCATTGATAAGCAATAAAACCCACAAATAACAATACAATTAAGAGAGGTTTACTAAAAAATATGAAAATGAAAGCTATAAAACCCACAATGATGAATTCTTCAGGGAATCTGGACAAGCTTTCGGGGAGAGATATCTCTCCACAAAAGTCACATTTCTTCTAATCGCATGCTACAAACCAGTAAAGCTTATAGAAGCTATTACTTCTTGTTATGTTGAACTAATGTGTGCATAAACGCTAGTTCCAACTCTACACACCGATGTTCTCCTACCACAGATTAGGAGCTATCTGCATTCGCTGAAAAACTGATTTAATTCTTCCAAGTCCTTGCTCCTCCGACCCCTCCATCCCATCTACGTGTGAGAATGGGACGGCTTTACAGCCACTCCCCATGCTGCCTGCAACAAACAGCCACCATGCCAGGCACCCCAACTGTCCTCTTGTCTGGCTCCCTGGCTGCCGCTCATTGGCGGAGAACACTTTACTCTCCACTCTCAATGGTCTCCCCCGCAGAGCCCCTCCACCGCTGGCAGCAAGTCCTGCGTCCCCACCATACTGGGACTAGAGCCTCCCAGCAGATCGCCAGGGGGCTCAAAGCCTCCTCCCCCAACTCAGCATGCCCCCCATGCCTTCAGCCTCTGTAGATGTCAGGCCTGTGTGCCCTGGTTCCATCAGTTCCGGAACCCTTCCCAGTCATCCTGGGAAGTGAGTATTTGCACAGATAAAAAACAGACTCTGACAATCAGTGGAAGGATATTTTCTCAAATTTGATAAAAGTACTGTGAGCAGATTTTACACATAAACATATATAGAGATATACATATGTGTATATTTATATTTACATGTATATATTTAACATCCTTAGTTTCTAAGAGACCACTGTTATTAATACGGGCTTTTTGTGCCTCCAGAACACTCACCCCCTACCAGGCAGACGGACACACAGACAGATTCGTTTCTCTGTCTCTGCCCCCATAAGCCCAACATACATGCAGGCCCCAAATTCCACAACAGGCATTTCAGGCAATATTAGTCACTGAGAAAGTGGGGCTCAAAATAAAGAAGTTCACTGTATAAAGTGTTTATGTTTTTGTCAGACTCGAGATCTGGGGAGGGGATCGCTTTTATAAAAAAGAGAAACTTACTGTTGACGTGATCGATGTAGTAGACGCCAATCTGTGGGTCAAAGCCTGCTTCCCAGCCCCACGGCAGCTCATCCCCAACACAGTCCGCGAACGACAAGGGCTTCGTTAACCTACGACAGACCAGAATAAATGCATGGGTGATTCTTTCCATCAAGCCACATTAGGTCAAAATTCAGTACCGTAACCACAAAGAAGACGAGTCTAGGTAGTATTTCCCTTTTGTTCTTGTGTCTAGAGTCTGTGCTGCTGTGTATAAAACCTTAATGGAAAAAAACAAGGATCAAATACAAAGATGAATATTCAAAAAAATAACAGTAAGTCCTAATACCCTTTGCAAAGTTCTAAGGTCATTTTAAATCAGAGACAAGTCCAAGCCAACAGTAAGGAGGCCTGGCACCCCGCGCTAGCTCTCCAGCTAAATGGCTCTCCCACGACCAAGAAGAATTCGTCCCTGGATTCAAATTCTCGCCTCATGGAAATTCTCACGCCAGCAAGTCTAAGAAGAGATCCGTATCAGGCTATGCTTATTCCGGATTTAGACGCTCTTGTACAAATGAAATGAACACTCACTTGGACCATGAGGTCCACTATGACCGGTGGGACAAGTACGTTTTATTTTTGTAGGTATCTTACACGTACCCGTTACTTGACACAATTTTTCATGGAACCAGACACACAGACTACTGATGTATCAAGGTGCTGTGACCTTTTGAAGCTGCCTCAGGCTTTCTCTTCAGCACACAGGCCCCACTGCTGACAGGGTTCCTATGTACAGAACCATCTGGAATCCTGTTTTTCCATGCTAATGGGTATCCACAGTGTCAGAGTTCAACTGAAATACAGCTCGTTTCCAGAATCTCATCCTTCCTCAGAATGACCAACTATGTCACCCGCCCTTCAGAATGCTGTGAGGACAACATGAAAAGGAGGGAAACCCTTTCCTCCCAGGCCTCGCCTTCAACAGCCCCCTCCAAGGACATAAAACACAGTGGGTCAAAAGAAAGGAGCGTCTCCTTTTCTCTCAATGTTCCCAGAGCCTGAAATCTGCTTCTGCCGATAGCTCCAGGGACACTGGCCTTGGAAACCAGTTCGGCTGATGGAAGTCAGCATGAGGAGAAGCAGCTCTGACCCCAAGGCACTAGGACACCGCCTCACTGGGAGCTTCTGTCTACGCCACTTGGCAGTGGTGATCACACCCCCTTACCCTTTCCTTGCGATTTAACTGTCTCCTAAGATTAATTTGAGATTAAAGAGGAATTAACTTAGAACAGTGTCAAGGACGTGGTAACTAGTCAACAGATGTCAGAGATTATCAATACGAGCACAACCCCTGAATTCTCTTATTTGTTTTCCAGAGGAGGGAGCAGGCAGTAGTTCTCAACGTGCGGTCCTCATGACCAGCAGCATCAACATCCAGGCTGGTTAGAAATAACAATTCCTGGGCCCTACAAGGGGCCTACAGAATCTGAAACTCAAAGGCCCAGCAATGCATGATGAATCAAGCTCTCCGGGTAATTACAGAGAATTTGGGAACCAGTGGCTCAGAAGGTAAGAGCTTGCAATCTGCCATCAGAGACCTGTGTTCCATCCCTTGTCCCTTGTCTACCATTCTCCTGCTGTCCAGCCTAGAACAGGTTGTTATTCACCTTAAAAACCCATTTCCCAATCTATTCGGGGGGAGGGGGGGTGCCGACTGTGAAGTTTACGTGAGAATAAAACAGGATCACGCTCGGTGAATGGTCGGGCTTCAATATAGGTCAGGTGAGTGATATGAGCCTCAGACACATTAGGCAACGCACCCACTAACCAGCAACTTGTCAGATTTACTTTCACAAACCTGGAGTCAATTTGAACCCAATCCAAGTCCTAAAAAACCCACGCTCTCGGTTGTGCTTAAATCCCATCTTAAATCATAAACTGCCCAGGAAAACTGACAAAGGAATTAGATAATGTATCAAAAACTCCCCTTACCATAGGAAGTGGCCTTGTCTTTACACACTGTCTAGAAGACTGACCTCTGACCCTGCTGAAAAAGCTGATTATTAGACAAAGCCCCTGCGCCAGGTTACCTTGCATTGCATTCTGTTCTCTTTCCCTCACTCCTTTATCAGTGCTGTCTAAAATGCACGTGCATCCTGAAGAAATGAGTAAGATTTGTAAGTTCAAATGATAAAAGAGTGGTATTACACAAGTGTTATCCTGGGACCAAATCAGCATGCTTCAGCCTGAGTATGACAGGAATACCTTTATTACTCTAAGAATGAGAAGTCACAAAAGCTTCAGAACATGGGTTATGATTGCAAATTATGGTAATTTGACTACACTTGGAAATAATCCAGTTTTCCTATTAATTGCTCAGATGATAAGCATTTTATTAACTGTCACTGTTCTAAGACTAGAATTACATGTATAAGTATACATGTAATTATGAACTCAGTTAAAAAAATTCAGACGTTTCCATTCCTGGAAATTTTCATGCAAAAATTTCTTTGCGGTGTTACTTCAAAAATCAATTAGATGCTTTGTTTTCTGTACCTGGATAAGTACCTATCTTTTCTCCGCACTCCATCAAAAAGTAAAACCATTAAATACATATGTATAAATTTCTAAATGTTAGAATTTAATTCTGGTCCAAATTACAAGATATAAATAGAATAACAGTCTCGGATACCAAACAGAATTAACCACTCAATTCTGCTGCTATCCTGATAACGGGAACATATTACGATGACATACTAAGAATGAACATAAAACAAAAAGAAGTTAACAGATGCACTCCAAAATTAGCAACAGTATGACTTAGAATAAATACAGTAAGCAGAAATGTTGATTAGTTTCCAATTTCTTCCTCTTGCTTTCCACACGGAATCTCTGAAACAGTCCATCTTCCTTTGACGTTGAGGAAGTGAATATGGATGGAGTTTGCTTTCTGTTGGTTCCCCACAAAGGAGCAACATCATGCAAAAAGCCTGAAACTAACGAGAGACTTTATGCTAAATTCCAGAGATTACTCTTTGCTTTAGAAACCGCCTTCTTTTGTACCGTGACTAATGTGAAGAAAATGCGAATTTACTACAGCGCTTTGCCAATGCTCACACACAAAATTTGAATTTGGCACAGTGTTTCCTCTCTCTGAGGGCACTGCATCATCCTTCCACACGATGTCATTTAGGGCTTACTGTCAATCGCGGATACCTGTCCTGTGACACGAGACACCTGCCACACACAGACAGATTTACTCTTCGCAGTTATGTGACAGTGGATGCCGTATGTGTGTGCACAAACCCCCAAGCACTGAGTTTGTACTAATTGCACTGAAAGAAAAGGCTCTTCACAGAAAAAGTCATTCTCGGGTTAATAAAACTCTTGCCACAGTTCAAGTCCCCCAAATGTATAGTTTACCGTGAAAGTGAAAGGTCTTCCCAGTTATTTTATTTATTTTATTTTTTTATTATCATATAATGTATTATTTGCCCCAGGGGTACAGGTCTGTGAATCATCAGATGTACACATTTCATAGCATTCAACAATAGCACATACCCTCCCCAATGTCCATAACCCAACCACCCTATCCCTACCCCCCTCCCCCGGCAACCCTCAGTTTGTTTTGTGGGATTAAGAATCTCTTATGGTTTGTCTCCCTCCCCATCCCATCTTGTTTCATTTATTCTTTTTCTACCCCCCAAGCCCCCTACGTTGCATCTCATTTGCTTTGTGGCACCTGCCACTGTCACTGTCGGGCTAAGTCAAAGCAGAGTCCACACTGCGAGCTGTCCAGGATTACTACAGGATCTGCCCACACGGACACCGCTGAACTTGCTCTGCAACAGGAAGGAAGGAGGCGTTTCACAATCTAAAGTTTAAAAGGAGGGTAAAACACCAGGAATCTTTCTAGAGGCCTGACAGAATATTAATTTGTAATGATGTTAATTAGGCCCCTCAGCACATCTATCTGTTTCTATCGCTAGAGTCAGGGCAAGCAGCAAAGGGACAGAAAGGGGGAAATCCCAGAAAAGGGTGAGTGGTGGCAGCAAGAAGAAAACAGCTCTTAGGAGAAGTACAGACCACTTCAGAGGAGGGTGATGAGGTTAACTTCGTATCTTTGAGGAAATTGGCTTAAATTCTTCAAAACAAGCCATATTAGACAGGAGGACTGCCAGACAGGGACGGTCCTGAGCCCAGTACACCAGGTCAAGGAGGAGCCTGGATGCCATGATGTAAATGGCTCACCCAGTGTGTCTTAGCTGCGGAGCCTGACCATTTCTCCAGGCCAAGTTCATGTCATCTTTGTACCTGCTTGGGCTCTCAGAGAGCTCTTTTCTGTGGTGGCCAGAGATCTGGTCTCCCTCGAACTTTTACCCACTGGTGCTCGTTTCCTCCCTAGGTGGCAAAGAGAACTAGCACAATCTTTCTTCTGCATGATGGGTTTTCAAATATTTGAACACAACAGTCTTGTTTCCCAAACCTGCTCTCCTTGAACCCAAATGCCTGGTTGCCCTCACCGTTGCTCATACCCTTTCTCTACTCAAAAGCCTGCCAATCTCCTGTCTGTAATCCCACCCAATCTCCCTGCTTTGCAATCACATCCCATCAGTTAGTGTCAAGTATGAACATCCTCTTGTATCGTTCATTTTTTTCCCTCAGCCTATAAATCTACTCAATCCCTCCACCCTAAAAAAAAATATTAAAAACTTTCCTCAAATCTTCTCCCTTCTGTATTATTTGTATTATTTGCAAAAATGTCAATGCTTACACTCTTCTAGAAGTCAACTTTTACATGTAGTAATTATAGTAAAAATACAAAACATTCCCTGTTTATCATGTATAAATGTGTGCTTTACATCCTCATAAACCTCTGCGAAGTACATAAAAGTATTACTGCCATTTGAACAGCCCATGCAGGACAGAAACTTAAACTCTAATCCGGTAAGCACGGGACTGGGTAACACGTACCTCTTTCTAGTCACCATCTGTACTTTCCAGCCACTGGGCTGATGATCCCGGGTGAGGCTGGCATTGTTCTCTAAAGTGTGCGTTTAGCTCCTGATACAGATGTGACTCACCACCAGTTTCTGGAAGATGCAGCAAGAAAGAGGGCCCTTTCAAAAAT